TATATATATATATATATATATATATATATATATATATATATACACACACACATATATATGATGGATATATATAGATATATATCCATCAATTAATTATATATATATATGATGGATATATAGGACACAAAGCAGCTCCCTTGAGTACATGAAAGAAAAACAGATGAAACAGAGGAGAACTACTATAATAGACAGCCAGGAACAGATACATGACTACATTTCTGTGCACTGTGGTTGCCTGCCACCTGCTGGTGATCAAAGTTATTACATGGAAATGCTTCATGGTGTTAACTGATAATGGATTGGTCAAGTCCAGACTGCAACTAGAATGCCTCCATTACTTAAATTGCTTTCTTTTAACAGATGGCTAACAAAATACCACAAACCTTCTCCAGGGGGCAGTGTGTGCTGTCTCTCAGGAACGGCAGCAGGTTGGCTCTGTCATACTCGGCATACAGACTGATCTGTCTCTCGTGGTAGTTTTGTCCTTTGTGATGGTCCCGTTTGAACAGTTTATGTAGGTACTGGATTCAGGGACAAAAAGCAACTATCACTGCTCACCGAACATGACAATGAGGTGAAGAGAAGTCATCATTTCTAGAAGTGAAGTTATGAAAATCTGTTTGGCATAACTGAGGACTGCAAGGGCTGGCTAGGCATATTTAAAGAAAAACAAGATTAGATTAGATTAGATTAGATTAGATTACATTACATTAGATTAGATGAGACCAGATCAGATCCCTTTATTGTCATTCCATATTTGTTTACAAGGAAATTTGGATTGAAGCAAACCACTGAACTTAGCAGTTTAAAATCACATAATTAAAAATTAGGCCATGTGAGGTAATAACAGAGCTAATAAAATGTGAATTGCATCTCATCTTTAAAGTGCATCTCAGTGATTAACAATTACTCAACAAGGAAATTCCAGTGTGCAACGGCATTTCACTCTATAGCTGTACCGGGAGTAACCACAAGGGGGTGCATTTTAAGCTGGAACAATATTTTGAATTGGAAGCTCTACTCACAATGTGCAGCAGTTCAGGTCTGTCTGTTAATTCCTCCACCACTCGGTCAGTCTAGGGTAGAGAACATGTGGGGAGATATCCATAACTGTGACTTAATTAACACTTGCAGACACTCACTTTTTCATTCAGCGGTCACTGTCTGGTGGCAAGGAGTTAAGCCACCAGCAATGTGCTAACAATGCAGGACTATAAGTCATTCAGCCCTGCGGTACCAGACACGGCAGGTGTCCTATCTGATAACCAGGCACACATACCGATATTTTATCTTCATTATCCAGCAGCATGTCAACCGCTTTCTGGAAAACAAGACAAAAAACAGGCAATATATCCTTGGGCTGAGCATGCGTGTAAATGACTGATTGCTCCTCGTCTGAATTTCAGCAACACACTGCGCTGTTGATGAAAATGGAAGATTTAAAGGCATATAAGGACAGCTGTAGCTGTTTTACACCTTAGAGATGGTCAGCACAGGAAAGCAAAGAAAATAAGCACTTCGTGCTTTGGACCCTTAACAAGAGTGGGACAAACCGAACTGTATTTTTTCCCGAAGCTCTTACCTCTTTATCGAAGTCCATGAGAAGCACAATCTTGTCTTCAATGGAGGAGAACAGATTGTGTTTGTGGATTAGTTGGTACACATCCTTGTGCCTCAGTTTCAGGTAGATCTCCAGGGCTTTGTCATAACGTTGGTCATATGTGTAACTGCACCGGAAATAAAAGACCAAAATGATCGGTTCTGTTTATCTCAACACCAACGCAGTAAGAAGGTCAACCTTAACACTAAACCTAATAGTAAAACTAACTCTAATTCCAACCCTGGCTAAACATAACTCTAACATTAACCCTAATGCCAACCACTAACCCTAAGCAAACACTAGGTTTAAAACCAATCCTAGGCCTATCAGTGACCCTAAACCTAACCCTAACCATAAGAAAATCCTAACCCTAAGCCTAACCCTAACACCAACCCTAACTCAAACCTTAATCATAACCCCAGGCTATACGAATATTGCCTCATACCATACAATATTGACAGTATAGAGAGTTAGATGTATCCAACTCCTAACTAAATCTCATTAACAACACACTGAACACTCATTTTTATGACCATGGAGACTGTCTATGGGATATGACTAGCTATCTACTCACAGCTCAGCCAGGGTGGTCAGCAGGGTACGATTAGTGGGGTCTTTCTTTAGATGGTCACAAACCGCCTGAACGATAGTCAGGTTGTTGTAGAGCTCCCCTGGCCACTCCCGAATGAGCATGGCGAAGCCCTGCACAGGAAAAACCTGTTTCAATATGCATGCTAATCCTAGGATAAAGGGAAACGCTCAATATAGGTAATGGATAAGGAGATGAATAGAGTTAACCAGTAGCACAAGTAAGGAATAACGTACGACAAGCCATATATAATGCGATCCAAGGCACTGTCCTTAACTGTAAAATTGTTGGTCGTTTTGACTGTAAGCCAGTTATTCAAAATCGCCCATTGTTTTATAATAGGGCATTGACTGTGCACTTTGTCTCGCTAGCACTACATGTTATAGTAAATAATCAACACCCTTCTGCCCAATCAGATTCAACAATTCAACAGCGCTGTGACATAAATTGGATTAAAGCATCAATGATTCAAGTAAACCCTCAAGGCCCAATGGAGGTGAACAGATAACCTCGTAGTCGCTCTTCAGAAACTCATGCAGGATCATCTCGTAGATGGCAGGTCTGAGGCGCAGGTCACCCCGGGGCAGGTACTGACTGATAGCCTGGTGCAGGAAGGCATGAACAATTAGCAGGATGGACTGTACCCATCGAGAATAGCAGTCCTGTCAAATGTAGCAGCTAAAGCTACTCTGGGAAGGAGTAAACAATTAGGAAAATAGACTGTACCCATCGAGGATAACAATCCTGCCAAATTTATTAGCTAGAGTTAATCTGGAAAAGCATAAACGATTAGCAGGATAAGACTATACCCAAGGAGGACAACAGTCCTGCCAAATACAGTAGCTGAAGTTGATCTGGGAAGGCATAAGTGAAGAGCAGAAAAGACCATACCAGTTGAAGATAACAGTCCTGCCAAATTACAAGCTAATGTTAATTTGTCCACTTGGGCTATTTAACAGCCAAGGTTACAGAACACTAAACAGGTTATCCAGATGATAAATGTCCCACGGTAGCAAAGTCACTTTTTGTCAAAAGAGGGACAAATTCTTGGGCTGTTGCAGAGGGCAGTTAAAAAAAACCAGGTGACTAATACAGAATCAATCAAAGGCTTTTCATTTATGTGTTTAACTCAGGTTCTGGTGATGGCCCCCTAACCTCTCTGGCCCCACCCTTACCTTCAGCTGGCCAATGGTCTTGAACCTGTAAACCTCATTCTCCCACAAGTCCATGTTCTTCCCCAGCACCTTCTGGCACTTCCTATCACACAAGAAAAGCAGGAGAATGAATGTGCGTATAAAAATAATACGAAATGACACGGAGAGTATAGGGCTGCAGATGTGCTCACCGAGCAGCTGCGTCGTAATCACCCCTCTCGACCAGGTGATTGATGTAAGCCATGCCGATTTTCTGATCAGAGGAGAATCACAGTCAGAGATGAGCTGGGGCCTTTCGGCAGACACTGGGTGACTCACATGATTAAATGTGGGAACTGAGGCCGCAACATAAAAACAGGCCAGTTTCAGGGCAGCGTTAAGTGAATACCGTGGCTCTGCTCCAGGCACCCAGGCAAGCTATCTTATTGTGCTCTCCAGTGTTCTTTGGCCCACCTTATGATTACTCAAGATTTCTTGGTTCTCAAATAGTTCTAAGTCAGCACTTGTTCAAACCAACAGATGTCAACATTCATCTCAAACAAGTATAAAATAAATAAAATGTAAAATGTTAAAAATTCCCAGAAAGCACCAGGAGCAAGGTACCTGCACATCATGCCGTTTTATGTTTTTAAAGCTGATTTCAGCTGCCATCAGGGCCTCCTGTAACAGATAAATGGCTCGTGTCAGTAAGAATCAGTGGCACTGGGCACTTCTGACCTACACTGATGTAACCAGTGTTGATATTGCTGTTGTACTACATAACAGCTTCATTACAGACTGATTATTACACACAATGAGTATACCGCTCTTAAATGTATAGCTTTCAACTTATTCATGGCTTGAGATAATGGACTGATCTAATAGAATAAACTGAAACACTAACTGGAGAAATTCTGGTCAAAGGCAAACAGCAGTAATGAGAGGTAAGGCAAGGAGCGCGCACTGATTACAGTGTGTTGCCGTACCAACAACAGAATGAACCACCTCAGGGATGAGCACCTGAGTGCAGCCATGCAGTGGGTGATACCTCAGCACCACACTAGTCTGAATGGAATGGGTCAGTGTGAGTTTTTCCCAGTGACTGGAGTGCCAATCCTGCCACCAACCCCAAATTTTCCCTGTAAGTTGGAGGACCTGCTTGCGGGGTTGGATGTAGATTAATATACCCGGGATGAAGCAATTGCAGGTTAATGCTCAAGGGCCCAATGGAGTAGGATCACTCCTGGCATTCATGGGATTCAAACTGGCAACATTCCGATTGCCAGCACAGAACCTTAACTTCAGAGCCACCGCTCTGCCCTCCGCAGTAATGATGCACTCCATTTTACTCCCAGGAGTCAAATTACACTACAAATGAATACGTCTGGTTCAATCCCCAGACAAACCTCGTATTTCTTTTTGTCGAGCAGCCAGTCAATGTGGTCGTCCTGGTCACGCTCCTTGGCCACCACAATGTCCTTGGGGCTGATGATGTAGAAGAGGGACTCGCCCTCGGAATGCTCTGCTCAGAGACAACGACACAGGACTGATACATTGACACATCACGGCAATTCTCTCATGACACGGGCCTTACGCTACAGACGTCTCTTCCATAGTGTCAGCTAATGTCAGCTAAGTTAGACTGAGGAAAGGGCCCCTGATTCCTGTCACATCACAGGGCCTTACGCTACAGGCTAACAGCTAATGTCAGCTAAGTTAGACTGAGGAAAGGGCCCCTGATTCCTGTCACATCACAGGGCCTTACGCTACAGGCTAACAGCTAATGTCAGCTAAGTTAGACTGAGGAAAGGGCCCCTGATTCCTGTCACATCACAGGGCCTTACGCTACAGGCTAACAGCTAATGTCAGCTAAGTTAGACTGAGGAAAGGGCCCCTGATTCCTGTCACATCACAGG